GGTGAGAATCTTGCGGGCATCGTTGGGGATGCTGCCGAGGATGGTAACACCCTGAAGGTGAGCGTCGGCGGATTGAGCCATGGTGGTGTGGTGTGAGAGAGGTTGGGAGGTTGAAGTAGTAGTAGAGGGTACTAGTAGTTAGAGGTGGGATGGATATAAAATGGGTGTAGATCTTATAGGACCATCCAACACAACACAAACTTAGTCGATGATGAAGGGAATTTGAAATGAGAAGATCTCATTTAAGTACGAAGTAGTAGTATATATATACTCGATCATACCGAATAACTCTCTGACTCTGAGAGTAACCATTCATCCGAGGAGTCTACGTCAGGATCCGTGAGCCGCGGTTATTTGGCCGGACCAATCAGAGAGCTTCACTTCAGAAGGGCTTAGCCGGCCGATCGAGTAATTGCCGGTCTTCGGATATTGAATTGACTGATATTGAGTGATATTGGGGAAGGTAGAGGGACTAGATAGTACCAAAGTATAGTCACATCCAATAGAATCGAGTAATTGTTACTCAATTCTGTGGTGATTATAATCCGTAAGGTGCAAACGCTTCCCCACACTTTGATATACACGTGACTTTTCCACGGATAAGCCAGTCGCAACCGCAACTTCCACCATTTTCACCGTTGAGTACTCCACAACTTCCATCCTTTCTACAATTCTCATCCAATCACATTGCATCCTCTCGGCCGACATCGCCACTTTCCCGTGAACCAGTCCAGCCTGTCCTATCCGCCTATCCCTCTCCCCCGATCTCCCTCTGCCCCGAAATGCTCGGGATGCGCCGTAGCCCGAACGGTCTTCCTCGGCGGATCCGCCGCCAGGGGGAGCTCTCTCGTCCGGGAATTCGGTGGTCCTTATAGATTTTCTTTTACGAATCGCATGGGGTCGAACGGGTGCTTGGGGATGACAGACACGCCGCATCGATCATCACCACCAACAGAGTTTCGCTTTACCCTTCCCTGGTCCTTCTCCTAATCCACCCGAGGTACCCTCAGTACCACTGGCGGAGGCGCTGGCCACAACGCCTCTGCTTTTCTCCCCGCATACCCGAGATCCAATCAACCGCGGCTCAGGGTTATTCCCTTGTTCTCTAGAGAGGTTGTGACAGGGCTGGATTCGGGACGCCGTGCGTGTCATGTCGGTGTTTATCGTCTGCTCTGGCCGAATTGTTCCGGCTTGTGATGAGTGCTCTTCCGCAAGTTGTACATGTGATGACATGTGATCTTATCGATGATCTACGCAGCTCTGACCATTGGCAAGCTATGGCAATCTACTGTATGTCAAGCTATGGCCAGTTCTAGGCGCATGTGTGGCTGGTCTGCAATGCACATCCGTCCTATGAGATCATGATGGATTATCTGCTGCGCCCAGCGCTTCGATTTTATACACTATAGAAATATGGAAAAAAAAAACTCAAACGGTCTCGATATATCGCCGCACCTCCCTGGATAACGAATCAGTCAGCTGCATGAACTTGAAACCACGGAGGAAAAAGATATACGGATCGGGGCTTATGCGCGGGGAAAAAAAAACTTACCAATCTGTAACAGCCTCCTCCCAAAGCCTAACCTCATGCTCCCTCGTTCCGCCAAAGTGATCCACAAACGAATCCCCGAAAACCTCCCGCGCCACACTATCAGGTCGCGTGAACGTCGCAATCGCATCCTTGAGATTCTTCGCCAATCGCACGCCCTGGTCACTGCTTCCGCCCATATCTTGCCCCTTCGACAGCGGTGGCACGGGGATCTCAAGCTTCTTCTCCACACCCCGCCAGCCCAGCGCCATAACAGCCGCAAGCACGAAGTGAGGGTTCGCGTCTGCGCCCGGGACGCGGACTTCAAACCGTGTGGCCTTTGCGCTGGCGGTAGGAGGCGCGATAATTCGGATTGAGGCGGCGCGGTGCTCGAGGCCCCAGGATACGGTCACCGGGGCCCAGAAGTTCTCGACAAGTCGCTTGTAGGAGTTGATCGTCGGCGCGAAGAGGGGCATGATATCTGGCAGGCCGACCAGCAGTCCTGCTAGGAAGTGACGACCGAGATCCGATAGGTTGGCGATATCTGGGTATTGTGGGGATGGATCGGGAGAGTCACGGATAAAGGCGTTGCTTCCGTCGCTATTGACGAGGGAAATGTGCATGTGTCCACTATTTCCGGGCAGGCCTTGACGAGGCTTCGCCATGAAGCAGGGTGTGATGCCGTGCTTGATGCCCTTGGCTTTGACGACATACCTGTGACGGGTGTTAGTGGGGGCTCTTCTCGTTCGCGCCTGTGTTCAGGGCCAGAGTTGGGGTCTCACTTGAATAGGGTGGCCTTGTCAGCCATCTCCTTTGCTTCGCCGAACTGTAGGGCCTTTGGAACTGGTCAGCCGGATGCAATTTCGCCGCAACTCCCGGATTTCATTCCGCGCATTACGCTGTGCGATCTCAACTTACGGCTTCGAACACACCCGGTCCGCTTTCTGTGTGCCATCCCTCGATATCGCAGCGGAACTCCTCACAGTCGTTGAATATACCGTAGTAATAATCCTGGTTATGAAGTGGCCGCGTAATTGAGTATCCAAACATACCCTCCGTTAAGGCGGGTAGTGAGTCGACTGGGTTATTCTGGAGGAAGGATGCAGTATGCGAGGCTGCCCGCTCAGGACTGGCATGGTCCCCCGGAGCACGGAACTGGTAGAATTCATACTCGGCTGTAAACTGTCAGTGGATAGAGCTCGTGAGGGAAAGTGGAGATAAGGAGTATGAGGTCATACCGCCAGCCATAGCTTTGTATCCCGCCGCCTCGGCCTTAGCAGCGACAGTCTTTAAGAGACCTCGCGGGCACGCGCATACTGGTTGGCGGGTATCTGGGTCCAGGAAACTGATCAGGAAGAAGGGGACATTATCTTCCCAAGGAATGCGACGGAAACTAGAGAGGTCGGGTACCGCGACGAGGTCCCTGTATCCATTCTCCTTGTTGCTGATCGTCAGCTCTTTGAAATATGTCTGGTCGTGCTGGTCCCAGCCAAAGATCACGGAGCAGAATCCGAAACCCTCAGTCGCAATGGAGAGGAATTTCTTCTTCTGCATGAGTTTGCCTCGTAGTTGACCGTCGACGTCTATGCCTGCTACCTTGACCATACGGTCATGTTGTAGTACGTCGGCAACGTTTTCGGGGGTCACCACTTCTGTTGACATTGTGTGTGTTTTGGTGGAGGGGTACGTGCAATTCACTGAAGCTGAAGCTGGACTCAAGCGACAGGAGGTCTGACTTAAGAGGCTCGGGATGTAAGAGAGAAGTTCCCAGTTCCCAGTTTCCTCGTTTCCAGTCAGCCCGAGAGTCAAGTGACGAAGGGGGTGCGCGCGGAGCTGGCGTTGCTTATCGCAAGCGCCCAGTCCGAATGCGGCTAGCAACCGCTGTTATCGGTGCTTATTAAGGGTTATCCGCCCTTATCAGCGCTTATCAGCGCGGTCTCGGACCGCGCTGGATCCACCCGTTACTGTTTTAGGACTAGCGCTAGCCAATCGACGCCGACGCCGTCGCATCGGTTAGCTTAGTCACGCGCTCCGAGCCCCGCGTATAGAGCTCCTTCAGAAGAACAGTTTCCAGCATTGTCAGTTCAACTATCTCGGTAAGTCTACTCAAGTGTGACAGTGCTTTAGTAGGAGTATCTGGACAGCTTAAAGCAAGCTTCTCCCCCGCCTTCACTCCGCATTGCTCACGATCGACCTTGCAGCGCTTATCAAGTGACCGCTAACACACCGTCGCACAGTGCCCCTCATCACCATCACATAATAAAACACCTTTTATCATGGCCCAAGGACGTCTTCAAGGCAAGAATGCCATTATCACCGGTGCTGCTGGGTAAGGATCCCTTTCTTCGTTCTGCTCCTTCCCTTCTCCATCGTCCCTGCTGCCGTCCCGGCTCCAAGTCCAGGTTCCGCCAGAATAACTAATAGCGTCCAGCGGCATCGGCCTCGAAACCACCATCCTCTTTGCCCAGCAAGGCGCCAACGTCCTTCTCGCTGATATCTCTGAGCCAGCTCTGGCCAAGGCCATTGCCCGCGTCAAGGAACTCGTTCCCACCGCTGGTCGTCTCGAGACCATCCGCTGTGATGTCTCCAAGGAAGCCGACGTGCAAGCCATGATCGAGTCACAGGATAGCTGGGGTGGAGTTGATGTCCTCTTCAACAATGCAGGAATTATGCACGCCGACGACGCTGATGCTGTGGACACTCCTGAGAAGATCTGGGACTTGACCCAGAACATTAATGTCAAGGGTGTTTGGTTCGGCTGCAAGCATGCTGTCCTTGCCCTTCGCCGTAACAACAAGACCAAGGGTAGCATTATCAACACAGCTAGCTTCGTTGCTGTTCTTGGTGCTGCCACTCCCCAGCTGGCATATACGGCTAGCAAGGGTGCTGTCCTGGCGCTGACCAGAGAGTTGGCCATCGTTCACGCTAGAGAGGGTATTCGCTTCAATTCCCTGTGCCCCGGTCCTCTTAAGTTAGTCCCCGATCCCACCTATCTTAAATCTTTCGCCTGGTGATACTGACGAATTTCCAACAGCACCCCGCTTCTCCAGGACTGGCTCGGTGATGACCACGCCAAGCGCTTCCGTCGTGAGGTTCACTTCCCCAGCGGTCGCTTCGGCGAGGCCATTGAGCAGGCCCATGCTGTTGTTTTCCTGGCTAGCGACGAGAGCAGCTTTGTCAACGGCACTGACTTCCTTGTCGATGGTGGTTTGAGCAAGGTATGTTTGTCCTTAGCGCGGGGGTGAGATTGGCGTTTACTTCGCTTCGTGCTAACTTCTTTCTTACTAGGCTTATGTTACCCCCGAAGGCCCCGCTCCTGTTGGTCCCAAGAATCAGGCTTAGTTTACGACTAGACCGGTCTAACGAGTCTCTTTTTTTTTAAATTGTTCATCCATTTTTAGATAGGTTATGAATTTATGTTTTTCGGGGATTGATTAAATATTGATTAATTATGTTTGTTCCCCTCATTACTTCATGATGCTACTTCAAAATCCTTCTTCAACTGCTCCTCAATATTATCCCAATGGCCCTTTACCTTGCAAGCCGACGTCCAATAATTTCCCTTCCGGTCCTTTCCAAAAACGAAGAAACCGTCCGCCGGTTTCACTGGGCCATGATTCTCTTGCACATACGAAGGCGTGCAAGGTAGTAGCTCGAACTCCCCCACCTCCTTGACAGCGGGTGAAAAGTCCAGATCGAACAATCCTGCTTTGGTCCAATTGGAGAACCCAATCTGGGCCATACCGCCATCACCGAGTACGACAACCGGCAGACCCATACCAGATTCGCGAACCATTGCATAGTATGCCTCGTGCTGTGCACGCGTGCCTTGCTCATTTATAGCACGTCGGACCTGTCTGGCAAGCCAACTGAGCGGCTTGGTGGTAACATCGCCTGCGCTAACGAGTACGTTTGCCCAGCCAAAGGCATTACCGACATAAGGGTGTTCGGCAGATGATGGGATGAGGTCACCCTCGAACGCTTTGCGAAGGGACATTGCAATCGACGCCCCGACCTGTTGGAAAAAACGTGTTCAGCAGCTACTACTCTCTGGGGTTTAGGTCAGCTCGAAGGGCCAGCGCGAGATCATACCGTTCGGTTGGAGTTCATTCCCATTTCAGCAACGACAGAACGCAAAATCCAGGCTGTCAGAACATCATTCTCCGTCAAAAATACCTTTGAAGGATCCTCGCCCTTCTCAATCGCCTCATCTCGAAGTTCTCCCAAAGCCTTCTCTAATTGTGGTGCCCAGTATGATTCCGGAACACAAACCATACGATTATCTTTGGCTCGGATCAACATGTCAACCCCATACCCCAGTCCCCACTTCAGCATCCCGGGGATCCCAACCTTGTTGTCTGCGAGAACATGTTTCTCAGTCGCGGGCTTTGTCCCATCCGCAAAAGAGTGGAATGGGTCCTTATTGAAATCGCACGGTGTCGGAATCTCATCTTCTCTGTTCCAAAGCATTGAGCTCCATCCTTCAACGACATACTGCAGACCTAGAGCGTCGAAGGCAACATGTTGCCATTGTAAGACTACAATGGTCTTGTCGGTGAAAGAATTCACGCGCAGTCCTAAGACAGGCAAATCGGTGTCGACGTAGTCGCTAATTCCCCCGGGTTTATACCCGGACTCCCATGCAAGACTTTCCAACTCGTCCGGATCACCCACGACTGCTGGACGGGTGCTGGGTTTCGGTATCTTGGAGGCTGCTGGGTGCTCGGCGGCAGGTATGCCATAATCAACGTGTGCGAAGGAGATTGCTGGTCTATCGGCCGTGAACTGGGTCGGAATGTGCCATTCGATTGCGCCAGAGGACTAGAACATTCAACGCGAGAAGTCAGTATACCTCAGTGCGACCCCTGTGTGAAATTGGAACAGGTGAGGATCGGAACAAGGCCTACATTTTTACTCAGACGACCACCCAATCTTTGCCATCCCTCCTTCTTTACCAATCCTTCGAGTGAGTCCCGCAGCTTCTGTGGAGAAAGCACGGCATCGAACACGAGGGACACGGCCATGTTGTTCCCCTGCACCAATAGACTGTTCTCAAAGAAGTGCAGTGGCACCACCCGATCCCCTGGCTTCGGTTCCTTTGTGGGCTTACGACCAAATAGAAATTCCATCATAATGTTGGTTGAGTCTGCCTGCACTGATGGTAGATCGATCGATTGTGTTTGCTCAGAGTACGAAGTTCAATGGCGGATTTCAAACGGCTTTTCGTTTCGGAAAACTTCTTGGTTTCTACTCCGTACTTTTGAGAGAAAAGGAAACAGAATAATTTCATTGTCAATACCTACGCTAAAAGGCGGACGTTTCAAATTTCAACCTAAGGGCACATGCGGAATACTACGAACTAGCAATAGAAGGGGCCGTCTATCCCCGAGGAGGCTGCGCTAACTAACAACCTGACTCGGTTGTCTCCCCTTTATTGGCTAATATCATGAGGGCACGAACAAGTGAACCCCACTTAGTCTACAAATTCTCAAGTTATACCGGCTGCATTATTTTGACAGGATGCGCTAACCTTCATCCGCTGTGAAGGATGCGCTAAGGGAACTCAAGACATTTCCCGACCCGCGCTTTTTTTATTTGCCGTTGGTCGCAGGATTCTGAAGCCCACTTTTAATAATTTCTTCCCAGCCTCACTGGCTGTCATTCCATTGGCATTGAAACTAGTTTGACTCAACACTCTCCGGGAATTGGCCGACTAGAGCCTAGAAGGGATGGCTGTTGCCGGTAAAAGGCAAGCCATGCCCCCTTTCGATGGGGCGAGGGCCGAGGAACGGTTTAGGTTATTGCAAGGTTTCTTGGGGGCCAGAGTTTCAATTTAGATAAGGTGGTCGTTACCCATGTCTAGTGCGCATGTGCAGATTGTGTTCTCACACTTTTTGAATTGAATTCTCTGAAGAATGAGGGGGTAATTCAACCCAAACACAATGGATCTAAGTAAAACACCGGGAATGCAGCCGCCGGCCGGCCAGTCATCTCATTTCAATGGGCCCTATAGCTCACTTCAGATTGGAACTGTCATTTGTTTTGGCGTCACCTACTTCATCGCTACATGTTTTATGGGGCTTCGGGTCTTCCAGGCGGTCAAGTTGGTCAAGAGTATCGAGCTGGATCTGAGTAAGTGCCGTGCTACTAAGTTCTTTGCGATCGATTGTGTAGAGCAGGGTATTGACGGTTCACTTATCAAATAGTTGTGATCATAATTGCTTATGGCGTATCTGCGACCTACTTTGCCACGATAGTTCATCGTGAGTGTTCCTTCGTATCGCAACGTGGATCCTATAACTAAAATATACTATAGAGATGACATGGGGTTGGGGAAAGCACATGTGGAATGTCTCATTGGCAGATCTTGTGCAATTCAACAAGGTCAGATTGAATTAACAAAACATTGACTCCTCAAACTAACATACGGTAGGGCTTACTTCCCAATACCTTGACCTATTTGATCTGCCCAGCCATTACAAAAATGGCCATTGTGTCCGTTTTATTTCGGATTAATCCCTCGGTGATCTACCGCTGTATTGTGATAGCTGTTGCTATTTCAATCTTCGCATATACTCTGGTATTATGCACCATCGTCGGAGGACCATGCAACCCACTCAAAACCGGAACTACAGTATGCTTGGAGAATGTTGCTTTGGCTCAGTCGGTTTTAAACATTGCATCAGACATCGCTGTCATAGCCTTACCCATCCCGACAATCCATGGTCTTCATCTATCCATGAAGAATAAAATGACGGTCGGGTGTCTTCTAACCCTAGGATCTGGGTGAGTCTTTTGTTTCTCGTGACAGCACAATTTACCGTCCTTACTCCCTTTGACGTTGTGGGTAATATTTAAAAGAGTTTTGTCTAATCTATTTTCAGCGTCATCGTTTGCTCAATCGCCCGCCTCCCTTACGTTCTCCTGCTCGACACAACCGAAGACGTAACCTACACCGAAGCGATCCTAGGGATATGGTCAATGGTCGAAATAAATCTCGGCATCGTCTGCGCATGTGCAATGCGCATGAAGAGATTAATTGCAACATATCTCCCGCGGCTATCCTTGTTCTCGACTAACCCGAGCCATACTGCTAAAATATCGCATGGGTCGGACCTGAAGAGATTCCAACCTAACGGTAGAGGTGAGCACTCATACCAGCTTCACAGCCTCCAAGGGAGCAGTGCGGATCCATTTAGTTATCCCGGTGGTATAAAATATCATCAATCGTTCAAGGTTGATGTACAATCTAAATATGGGGGAGGTGGGGATGCCGCGAGCACGGACAAAATTTTGATCTGAGAGGTCTACGTACTACTGCTATGTCCTGTACATTATTATTAACGAGCGGGATTTATACGATGATTGGATCATCTATAGTACCTAGTTGAGCATCACAAATTGTCTTTCTTTAATTCCTCAGGTCACGGTGGGCCTTGATGAATAATATCGTAAAAGGTTACTCAGCGACATGATCTTTGTCGCCAACCGACGACGGCGAATCTTCATTCTTTTCGTATGTCGCATAAAGTCTACAACTACTACATGAATCCGACGAGGTCGCTTGATGCAGGGCACTGGCATCAATGGGGCTGAAAGGTCACCTGATGAGGGTCGCGAGAGACAAATCACTCAGGCGCTTGGCAGCTGATCGAGGCTGCAACCTGTTCGACCCGGGCTCTCATCGCTCGTCATGTCTTCAATCGCGATGAAATTCGGTGACTCAAATTCCGGGATACAAGTCGGAGTGAATAACGGGTCGATATCTACTGGAAGTAAGAAATCCCAACCGCAACCCGCATGGGCATCACAGGCACTGACTGGGCTTAAGATATTCTAGCAAATTTACCAATCGTACAAGGCGCCGCCTTCGATTCTTTTCAGAATCAAAATGAAGATTTTTGTCTCCCAGGAACCAGAACTGAGCTGCTTCATCAGGTTACGAAATGGGCGAGCTGTCCCGGCCATCCGATTTTCTGGTTGCAAGGCATGGCTGGAACAGGGAAATCAACAATCTCGAGGACTCTATTACGATCGTTTGCCGATGCTGGTCTTTTGGGAGCAAGTTTCTTCTTCAAAAGAGGAGAAACAGACCGAGGAAATGCATTATCACTCTTTCCTACTATCGTCAGGCAGCTGGTCGTGGCCTTCCCTATGGCATTACCGGCTGTGCAGCAAGCACTTCGCAATCATCCAGAGATATCGGGAAAGGCTCTATCGGAGCAATTTGACAAAATGCTTCTGCGTCCACTACACAGCCTGGAATCGCTCGATCGACCAACCGTTGTTCTCGTGATCGACGCGCTGGACGAATGTGATGACGATGCAAATATATTGACTATCATTCGGCTATTGCCTCAACTGCAATCAATAGACGCGCTGTGTATAAGAATATTCCTCACCAGTCGTCCGGAACTACCCATCAAGCTTGGCTTTTCAAAAATAATGGGTCAGCATCAAGACTTCGTCCTTCATGAGGTACCAAAGGTTGAAATAGAACATGATATCTCCTTATTTCTGGAGCATAAAGTTGCCAAGATCCGGGAAGATCATGGTCTGCCTGATGATTGGCCTGGAAAAGAGACTATTTGCAAGCTTGTGGAGCTTTCTGTTCCTTTATTCATCTTCGCTGCGACTACCTGTCGTTTACTTGAAGACGAGCCATGGAGTCTGGCAGAAGTTCTCACTGATATTTTGATCTATGGCAATGAGCGTTCCAAGTCAATTGGGACATACCAGCTTCGTGGAACATATCTTCCTGTTTTGAAACGCTTCTTGCGGAGAGAAAGCAAGAAACAAGAGAGCCAGTTAATCGATGAGTTCAGGCTCATCATCGGCTCGATAATTCTACTTGAAAGCCCTCTCTCGGTGACTACCATCTCAGAACTCCTTGATTTCCACGTCGAAAAGATCAAATGGAGACTGAGGCCATTTCACTCGGTTCTCAATGTTCCTGACGAAGAATCGGCACCTGTACGATTGTTCCATCTCTCCTTCCGAGAGTTTCTGCTCGATTCAGAGATATCAGATCGGACTCCATTATGGATTGAGGAAAGTTCCACACACCAAAAACTATCAGACCAATGCATGTTTGTTTGTCGTCAAAAACTGAAAAAGAACATATGCGATCTAGCTCCAGGCATAGAACGGGAAGAAATCGATGCCATGGGCATTCAGGAGCTTCTCTCACCGGCATTACAGTACTCCTGCCGCTACTGGGTACATCACCTTGTTTGCAGCAAAAATTCTGATGTCCAGAATGTCCATCTCTTCCTGAAAGGGTGTTTTCTATATTGGATGGAGGCGATGGGAATTCTAGGCCGTGCGTCTCAGGTGATTCGAGACCTAAATCTGCTTCAGTCAACCTTCGACGTAAGCCCTTTCTGTGGAACTTCTTCTGATGGTTCTTTCTGCTGATACTTCTCGGGACAGAAATACCGCCATGGAGACCTGAGTAGCTTCTTACATGATGCCAAAAGGTTTTCGCTTCGAAATGCTCATATTACCAATCATGCACCTATGCAGCTTTATTGCTCTAGCCTTCTATTCGCTCCAAAGATGTCGATAGTTCGAAAGTGCTTTGAAAAGGAACTTCCCAGTTGGGTGCGATTACGTTCCAAGCACCACGAAAATTGGAGCCCAGAATTGCAGACTATTGAGGGTCACTCTCAATCCGTGACGCTTGTAGCGCTTTCGTCAGGAAATCATCAGATATTGGTATCTCTCTCCTCATTTGACTATACCATCCGAGTCTGGGACGCAGTCACAGGGGCTTTAGAGAAAACACTCGATACGTCCGATTACAGGAATACACATCTAGCACATGCTATGGTTGTCTCTCCCGACGGCCGGTATCTGGTTACCATAGGCGAGTGCATCGACCTTTGGAACATCTCGGCAGGACTTCATCTGAAAACGCTCAATGGCCAATCCGGGGCCTTTTATCGAGGAAGTCGAGTTCTGGTGGCTATAGACCAACTCAGTGTTCAATTCTTGAATCTCGAATCTGGTACTCTGACACAGGTTGAACTTAACCAAGAAAGAGGCCAATTCAATGCAAAGTCTCCATCTGACAAATGGCCATTCCAGCCCGATGACAATGTAGGGCTTTTGGATGGGTATACCGCGCTATCGGCCGATGGCCAGCTTGTAGCGGTAATCTGTGACCACATTTCAATGATCGTGCTTTGGGAAACCACAACAGGTAAAAAGAGAAACAGTATCTGGAACAATCATGGCAGGATGGCGTCGCTTACATTCTCGGGTCAAAGTAAGATACTGGCGACTTTTTTACGAAACAAAAGCTCCATTTGCTTATGAAACATTGATGTCAACGATCTCCAGCATACTATTCCAGTCGAGAATGATCTGGATCTCAATTGGATAACCATATCATCAGACAGCCAGCTTATTGCATTCGTTTCGGTCTCAAAAACAATTCAAGTTTGGGGCACATCATGTGGGTCCCTGAAATATGTGTTTCAAGTCCATACATCGTGGTCAAATTCGCTGGCATTTTCCCATGACTGCGAATTCCTAGCATCAGGCTGCCGTGACAATGTTATCAGGCTCTGGGACCTCTCGAACTCAATCAACACGAGTCAGACTATAAGAGGCCATTCGGAGGTTGCCTCCGAAGCCTATTTCTCTCCTGATGGCTCTCTGATAGCAACAATGACATATCATAAGAGTGAGATCATAGTATGGCATGCGAGAAAGGGGGATATATTGAGAACACTTCTACTACCTCCTAATGGCCTAGACGGGAAAATTGTTCACCTCGCTATATCCCCTGACAATCGAAGGTTCGCAGCAGTTGAGTGGATCTCCTACTACACAACCCCATGGAAGACTCAATCCAAAGGATCAGTTGTGGCTTTGATGCTCTGGGATCTTACGACGGAGGATTTGTGGAATGTAGGCGACGATTATTGCTGGGAATCTGGAGTCGCACCTTGTCCTCCAGTTTCCACGCCCAATTCACAGTCACTGGCACTGATCTGTTACCATGGGGATCGCTCGCGCTTTTCGACCTTTTCGCCGGATGGCAGATACCTGGTCTTTGTTCTTCGGTCAGAAGTGATTGAAGTGTGGGATGTCGACTCCGGCCATCTCCTGTACTTTTCTGAGCATTCATTTGGGTCCGAGACTATCACTGGTATTGCTTTTACGGAAGGGGGATTGTCGTTATTGACCATCCTGGGGACCAAAGACATTGTAATAAAGTCCGAACGCTGGAAACCTGACTGGAAAACACAGGAACAGCGCCTTACTACCAGAATTATTACAGTCAAGGAAGACTGGGTATATATACGAGGGCGAAGGGTATTTTGGCTACCTCCTGAAAACCGGCCTCGACTCGGACATGATGGTGTTGCTTTCCACGGCAATACAGTAACCTTCGGAAATTTGTCCGGCGACATTACCATTCTAGATTTTGACGTCGATTGAGCAGCGGCCATGGGCCTTTTTATTTTTATTTTGCATTCTGTCATTATATTTCATGTGGCTAACCTTCAAGGCATTAGGCTGTGCTAAAGTAGGATTATTGAAAGGCGAGAGGCGAATCAGCCGATGGTTAACTGCCGGAGTAGCAGCTTATTAGCATAACTCGATCTTGATTGGCTGGAAAGCATTCCTCCGGTCGCGGGGCAGTGCACTTGCCAAGTTGTACTAAGCTGCACTAAGCTGTAATGAGCTGTGGGGGGGATTATCATTTAACCCAAAGTTCCGATTGTCGGATATTGTGGATGGTGATTGTATATGTTGAAGATTTAGCATCCAGGGGAACATGAGATGTACACAAGGGGGATCTGATGTAAATTAGTATTTCCAGAGACTCAATAATACTATAATGGGGTAATCAGGAGAGTAATAGTATGATCGCGTGTGGCCTGATCTGATCTGATGGTACTGCGTCTTCTCCACGTCATGCAATCCCCGCATTCCGCGGTCAATTAAAGTCCGGCCCGGTGCACGCGCCGCTGCTCCCTTCTTTCACTCTTCACCACTCTCACTCCTACAGAGATCCAAGTCCAGTTTCTGTCTATTCCACCTCCATTCTCAATCAACACAATATGTCTTCACACACCTTTCCCGGCACAAACAAGCCCTCACAATACCGATCACACCCTACTAGCCCGAGCTTGAAACCCGGGCATGGACGATGGTGAGTGCCCCTTTCCCGATCGTTGAGTCCAGCTTGAGCTTGATTCTTGCCCCTTCTCTTCGCCCCTGTACTAATTCACCTTCTCCAGGTACATCCCCGTCGTCGCAGCAGTCGGTCTCGGCTTCGGCGCATACAACTACTTCACACAAGCACAGGCTCGCCGCGAATTTGCCATCAAAGAAGAAGAGAAGCGTCTGGCCAAAAATCGAGAGTTGATGGATGCTTACGGCAACAAGGAGAGTCTGCATGATGTTCAACAGGCACTGGACATGTATGGCCGGTGATGACCTCACTATCACCGCTGGGCCGAACTGAGCCGAGCCGAGCCGATTTCAGCCGGGCCGGTCTCGCCGCAGTCGGAATTCGATACTTCATGTTTTGCAATACTGGCGTTTGCATGGTCGGCCAGTACTTTAAAGGCGTTTGCAATGATTGCATTTTAGGTGTTTTTGGGTATATCTTTTATTACTACTATTTGAATTGGCCACCGGGGCGCACTGCTAGTGCGGGGTGGATGGAATCGTCATCCGATGCTACATCGGAATTTTCTTTTGTTATGGATCCACTATATGGAACACAATAGGCGAAATCTTATCTTCGATTCATTTACCAGTTTCAGGAATTCGCGTGGACGTTTCAACGCTACTTGTAGTACCATACTAGGCGCTCGAGTAGCTGCTATCCCTCACCAAGTAGTAAATCTGCTACCACGTCAACTCGTAAGAAGGTATCACAAATGACAATAATCTCCAGCTGGGCGACTCATGGCTTTCTCGAAATCTAATCTTGGCGCTCTGCGTCGAAGACTTCAAAGTTATCCAATATATGAATTTGAAGTTATACTACACTATCGACACTTATCAACACTGGCATCCATGGATCCACGGCTAACATAGATCCCGTCTAGATTCCGCACCACCATCTAACTGCTCGAGTAGAAGCTGCTAACTGGCCACCCATCAAAAGCACTGTAATCCGCCAATGGCGAAGAGCCAGAGAGCTTCTTATAGTATTTGCGGTTTCCACATTCAGAAGTATCCGAAGAATTGCTGCACTTATGATTGAGCAATCCAGCAATCCGTTCACCCGCATCACGCCCCTCGTACCAAGCACCGTGCAAGAAACCAAAGTATTGCGCACTTGTCGCCTCGCCAGCAAACCACAGGCGATCAACATTCGCTCGTAGGTTCTCGTGCATCTCCAGCGTAGTCGATGGCGGCCAGTTTGAATAGCTTCCGTACGCCCATGGGGTCGTGCTCCAACGGGGATACATAAACGCGGTTGGCTCGGGGATGTCTTTGTCCGGATACATCTCACGGAGAACCTTCATGACCTCCTTTTGAGTTTCCTCGTCGGACTGGCGTTCGACACGGTATGCCTCTTGTGAGACGACGGTCACGAAGATGATGTTCGACTCCGGGATGAAGCCCGGTGCCGAGAGAGATTGCCAAACAGGGTAGTAACCTCTTGTGGTTGGGTCTGCGTAGAGGAAGTACTGCGTATCCCGAGGCCAGAAGGTTTCATTGAATTGAAGGAAGATCTTGGTGTAGGTGCCCATGGTGAATTTTTCAATCGCGGTGCGTTTCCAGTACGGCAACTTCGGGCTGAAGGTCACGTCGCTGTTTTGAAGGACACCGAGAGAGAAAGTGCAGACGGCGTAGGCGGCTTGCACACAGCTTCCGTCCTTCTTCTGAACCGTCACACCGTCATCGGTGTAAGTGATGTTGGTGACGACGGAGTTGAGGTGGAGACGGGGATCGTTCTTCTTCAAGAAGGTCGAGGCCTCCCCCCTTTATGATGTGGTTATAGCCACGCTGGTCCCAGACGTAGTTGTTCGCGTCGCTGAATTGGTTGAAAGTGAGGTTCTGGCCAGCAACACCGAAGATGAAAGAGCTTTCCTCGGGAGAATAAGCATCCTCCCAATCTAAGGAATATTAGAGGGTGCGAGTATACTGCACGGATCGCGACTTACCCCATTCCCACCACTCAACAGCTTGGGCCTTCATGTCATCAACCTTGGGCCGCCAGCCAGCCAGTGCAAGGCCAGTACGGGCAGTTTGATCCTGGAGGTTCTCCTTCAGGAGGATGCCAGCTTGTTCAGAAGCGTCATCGTATAGGTCCTCAAAGTCATCGAGCAGAGAGGCATAGTCGTTGAATCCACTCTCATCGTAGGTCAGGATGGAACTGTAGTTGGAGTAGGTGTTGTTGAGATGCCACTTCTTCGCGAATGTCCAAATGGGATTTTCTAGATCGGTCAGCCATCTGCATAATCTAAGGTTGATAGAAAGTAGAACATACCAGGGCCTCCAGGAGAGCCAAGTCCTTGCACCTATTGTTGTCAGCCTTCGAACGACCTGCACAAAAGGAACGACCTACCCAATTGGCACCTAGTTCCACCGTATATGGCTTGCCCTTCTCATCCTTGCCGAAGTCCGTGTGTGCAACACGCCCGCCAAGAGTATCGCGGTACTCAATTAGGACAAAGTCCTCGATGGAAGAGTTATGCAATGCTTGCTAACCGGGCATTAGATCCAAGTGTCCATCCACATGTCGCGGAAACAACTTACAGCCGCGGCGACGCCCGCCATTCCACCGCCCCTGCAATCAATGTTAGCGCAGTTCCTTATTCGCTCCACTGAACCCTCAAACTCACAAGATCGCGACCGTAGTCTTCGTGCAAGTCGCGTCATCGCGTGCCTTGGAAACTGCCGCAGCGCATGTCTGCGCAGCCAGTACAGCCAGCAACCCCTTGGAGAACATTGTACGAAATACTCAGGAGAGGGGGTTCTGATCAAGGGGAAACACACAGCCACGCGCATTCCTTATAAATGCGTACGACCCCATTTTCCTGCTTATCACCACCGACGCAGCTCCACTGCCGACACCGCGATCGGCATTGAACCATGCGACGCGAAGTATATTGCATCTGCAGCCCTGGGGAAGCCACTACGCGCGATTCGGTAGGTACACGCAGAGATCGACGAAACAGGGAATCCAAGCCGGGCCGTTCAGGAGCTTGATAAGCTTTTGTGGAGGATAAGTACAGCTTCATGGCGATGACTACTTTACCTCGGGGTATTCGGGGCGATAAGCCAGGGGCGGTGGATACTGTGGACACAGTGGAGATTCACATCAACTCGATTCGATGTTGGTCGGTTCCACAATCACTCGTCATTGGTCTGCCCGCTGATAACTGCTTCAAGTTGTAGGTAATGGATTTCTTCCCCGCATGCTAGCGAACTGCAACCCTGTCGGCGCTATCCGTTAACGACATGGCCATGCGATGACTGCGATGCATTTAGTTGGTCCTTAATCGCCGAGACGCTTACTGCTTCTTCTCTTCATCTTATCTATATCCCCTTTCGCCTTGAGGTTCTTCTTTCAACTCACCTGTTTTTTTCTTCTCTTTCTCGTTTGGCCCTTTCGCGATGAAAGAAGCACCACTGCAAGATGATGACGCCCAGCTCGCGGCCATGGGCCACAAGCAAGAGCTGAAGCGTCAGTTCTCGACCTGGTGAGATCGACACTCAAGCTGCGCAATCGTACACATGTACATACTAACTTTGGGGTACCTAGGGCAATGCTCGGTCTCGCTTTTGCCGTGTTAAACGTTGGTACTTGGTCCTGCGGCACTAGAAGGAAGCTAATATCCGCTCGGTTCAGTCCTGGACCGCCTTGTCGGCGAGTTTATCGATTAGTCTTACCTCCGGGGGCGCGACAAGCGTCATCTGGGGTCTTGTGACTGCGGGGTTCTGCAACTTGTGCATTGCCTCTTCATTGGCCGAGTTTCTTTCTACTTACCCCACGTTCGTGCCCTCTTCGAAGTAAACAGAAATTATACTTACGGATTTAGTGCTGGCGGTCAATATCATTGGGTTGCTGGTAAGCCCACTCGCAAGTACATTCCGTTTCAAGGCTAACCCATATATTAGTCAGTATGTTTAACATCTATCACCAATTTGCAAGCAGATGCTAATTTTGTAGTTGCTTGGCCCAAATGGGTCCCCATATTGTCCTGGGTTACGGGATGGATCAATGTCGCTGGTTGGGTAAGAGGATCAAGTGGCTCTAGTAGTTGGGTTACGACTAACATGATGGTAGGTGGCCTTGGTCGCGACCAACTCGCTTCTATCCAGCCAGCTGATTGTTGGAGTCATCTCATTGATGCATCCGGTATGTCAATGTGTACTTCGAGCTCCACTGATATAATACTGATGAAGACCTCCGGAATAGACCTATGAGGCCCAGCGCTGGCATCAGTTCCTTATTTACGTTGGCTTGACAATGGGCGCATTCTGCATTAATGCTTTCATGAACTCCATTCTACCGGTTATTTACCGTGGCGCATGTACGATACTTCTTTTTCACACCTTGGAGTTAAAGGCTGATCATTTTAGTTACTTGGTCTATCGGTGGCTTTGTTATTGTTTCGATCACAGTCTTGGCTTGCGCTTCGCCGGATTATAACTCGGCTTCGTATGTGGACTGTGACTTTCTGCAGCTCTAGACCATTACTGACAATCTATTCCAAGTTTTGTTTTTGGAAACTTTGTGAACAGCACTGGATGTGAGTATTCACTTCTAACTCTCGCACTATGTTCATTTGCTGATATCTTCTAGGGCCTGATGGTGTTGCCTGGTTGCTTGGAGTGGGTACACTTTACTTGCATACACTACACAATCACTAACGGTTAAAGCTTCTACAAGGAGGTCTCGGAGTGACTGCTTTTGTGAGTTCAAAATTTGAAACCGAAAAAGGACCCACGCTAACGTAGTCCGCAGGATGCTGTTGCTCATATGATAGAAGGTAACGACCGAACTACAATGTCTATAGTTTGTCAATAACAGAGCTAACTCAAACAGAGGTTCCTAATCCATCTGTTGAGGGTCCCAAAATTATGGTCTCCTGTGTTGGGATTGGCATCTTTACTGGCTTCATCTTCCTGATCGTTCTGCTATTCGTCGCCGGTAGCATGGACGCGATTACCACTTCGGCAGCTGGGCCCCTCTTGCAGATTCTCTATGATGCGACCAAGAACAAGGCAGGGGCTATTTGCCTTCTGATGTACGTCCTTTTAAATCTCTGCTCCTGCAAATATAACCCTAATTGGTCATAGGCTTCCTCTTGTATGTTTGATTCTCGCTATTCTCAGCGTGATGACAACCAGCAGTCGCATGATTTATGCGTTTGCGCGGTAAGTTTCCTTTTCTAGAACAATAATTGACCTACTAACATTTACAGCGATGGTGGCCTTCCGGCATCTCGTTTCTTCGCCACTGTTCACCCCACCCTCAAGCTACCGCTGAATGCACTTATCCTGACGGTAGTTGTCGTGATCTGCTTCGGCTGCATCTTCTTGGGATCTTCAAGGTAATTGATCTCCCTACCTTTTTCGGTTTCCTCACTAACAAGATAGTGCTTTCAATGCTATTATTTCGGCCTCTGTGGTTGCGCTCGACTTATCCTACGCGATGCCTATTTTGGTAAACTGCTTGCAAGGTCGCAAGGCCCTTCCCAAGGGAAGCTGGAAGCTGCCCAATGCCCTTGGATGGATCGCTGACATCGTGAGATAGTCTACCCCTCTGAAAGAAACATAATGTTAATTGAGTATAGGTCGCGCTATCATACATCGCATTGACAACGGTGCTATTTGTTTTCCCTCCCTCTAGTACCGTCACTGGAAGCAGCATGAGTAAGTTGATTTTCGGCATTTGAAGGGCTCCACTGACCGATCTCTAGACTACTGTGTCGCTGCCTTCGCGATCATAATCATCATCTCCGCTTTTCAGTGGATTGTGGACGGTCGAAAGAACTTCACGGGTCCGCGTATCGACTTTGCAACTGATGCTCTCGACACCATGCCCACGAATGATACAGAGACAGCGCATCACGAGAAGTAGGCTGGACTTTACGAACTTGAGATGAAACAAATCCAAGTATAATGCTTCATTTGTCAAACCTAACTACATTCTATAAGAGCACTTATCGAATGGATATCTAGAATCAGGAAATTTAGAGAACGAATAATCACCAGGTTCCCGGAACCAATTGACCTGAAAGATCTTTCATTCTGTTTCAGATCCTATCAAGTGCCAGTGGGGCGTGCAGAAATAGAAGAAAAATTTGGTTGCCTAGTGTATAATACTTTATTGAGGCATAGCTTTCGAGGATTTGAACAACCGCGACCAGCCCTAGTTTCATGGACAGTGGTGGAGTTGTAACGTCTGTTTGCCGTCGGGATCTACATACCATATGTGGATAATTCAAGCTGATGGTCAGGTATACTGACAGACTTCTGCTCATAAGCCACAAGCTATTCACCGAAACCTTATATTTTCCATAAAATTTTATTTCACTATCGCCTTACATAGCGTTCTATAAACGCCAACCATGCTGTCGGGAGCCTCCTTTGTTTAAGGTAACGAATTGCAGATTGATCAAAGTAATGCCAGAGCAAGTGCACCAGACAGAACGACAGGCTCCTAACGCGGCATATTAAAAGAGGCCATGCTTGTCTTTGTACTGCTCGTGCCTGTCTCAGACGCTATGGTGCTCGAGTCGCCCGATCCGCCCGTCACGGTCGCAGTGGCGGTCACGACGTTATCGATTGATTTAACGGTAACCGGATGTTTTATGGTACCACAGGTCTATGTGAACCTTGGAAGGTTACGCCACTCACAGGTGTCGAAATGACACCGCCAGTATTGTGTAGTGTCTCGGTACCATTCTTTGGGAAGTTCCCGGGCTTGTAGAGGGTGTGAGTGTCGCCGGCATCTTCGGTACGTATACACAAGCAGATAGGAAGTGACTTATCTGGATATTAAATATAACTCACTCTGCTACCCTAGTTACTTTTTCAAATCTATAGATTTTATATTTTTGATATCCTAGTCGATATCTAGTCTGGAGAATGTAATCTGCAGCTCTACTATTTATTTTCTGTTCTCTTTGCCTATAAAATTGTTGGTCTAATACTAAGTACTGTCAGTGTTTACAGGAGGTTATATTATACTATGGATTAAACAGAAATATGATAAGAAGGTTATGTAAGATCGTATCGAAGTAATAGTCCTTGAGCGACAGTCTTAATTTCATACTGATGAGCCGGATCAAGAAGAGGAAGTAGAGACATCAGAAACTGGCCAAGAGGCTGGAGAGGCTTCTAGACAGAGGCGAGGAATTGCGGCGACTCAACCAGACGAAGAATTCATGGAGATGATACGGCGGGACATATCGCGACAAAAAGTTGAGAGAGTCCCGACTAGCCGCGAAAGTACTGGACCTTGTTTCAACTTTCCTTTCAAGGAATAATATCTCGGGTACTTCCTGTATCCGTGTATGTACTAATCACTGCCCAAGATTGAACATTAGTGTTTCCAAGGTGGTCGCCACCAATGTACTATATGTACTCTGGTATGTTGAGTAAATAACGTTAGTATGGTGGGTCACGGAACTGCGTAGAAATAGGATAAAATCCGTGCCTAAGAGAGTATTGCGGGTGATTCCGGCCTGGCCGGGATTCCTCAAACTCCGAAAGCCCGTGATAACTACACGTATTGTTAAGATGACTCATTATTGGTACCCCACTGATGGCGGATGGCCGTTTTACTGTGGCCATTAAAGAAGCAGGATTGTAAAACTGGGAACGAACAAACAATCACGTGTATTTTGACGTACGGCGTCAAAGTCGAATATTTGTTGATAAATACCCTCCAACAATACATGTCAGAACCTCCGTCCGGCCTTTGATAGCTCGCAGTCTAGTGTCAGAATGCAACCGTTCAGGGTCTTTGTCCGATGGAGGAGCCTCAGCGCTGATGAATCCGGCTACGGGGAGATTCAGCGCAAAGCAGAGCCAAATGGTGCAGCCCTTTCATCGATATCCATCGCTGCGATGACAGACTCAAAATCTCGTTCCAGATGTTATCAGTCATGGAGAAGCCAGCCTTCCATGACTCGGGTTTTCGAAATGAGCGACACCAACAAAACAGTATTTGACGCAGTGGTGGCCCCGGTCCTTCCGCGAGTCATGCAGGGCAAATCAAGCAACTTCTTCGCCTACGGTCATTCGGGGAGCGGCAAGACTCATACTATAATCGGGTATGATTACGAGTCTCCCGAAGAACTGGGTTTGTGTCAAGCTTCTGCCCGCCACTTGATGACAGATCTGAATCGCCTAAACGCAGACGGAGGCAGCGATCAACTAGGTATTGGAATTCGCATGTACGAGCTCCGAAAGAATAGTGCATTTGACCTGCTAAATGGTCGTTGTGAATGTTTCGTTCGTGAGGGACCGGACGGTCAGATACACCTTCGAGGCAAGACGGAGGTGCTCAAGGATGGCAAAGTCAGGGTGCGGCCACTCGCGACCAAGGCATGCTGGAGCTTTGAAGATCTCTCGCGCGAGTTGCAAATAGGGCTGAAGCTTCGCGCTACTGGCTCCTCGACGGTTCATAATCAGAGTTCACGGACTCATGCGACCATTGAGCTGGAAATTGTCACGAAAGATCTACTCCAGGCGCGGGACGCGGTTATTGAGCGACAGTCCGAGCTCGTGCCTGTGGGCAAATATGCGACGGATGTCTACCTGGAAGAACAAAGTCGGGCCTTTGTACAAAATGATCATGGGAAGTTTGTCCCTAATCCCTATTATCAAGTCGACCAAGCACGTATCGACACTGCAGAGGCCCGGAAGGCGGAATTCGAGGCGCGAGTCAAGTCTGCCGAAGAGCACGAGTCCACTCTGTTTCAAAGTATAGCTCGACGTCATCCTTGCCTGGGAGGAAAGCTCGTATTTGTTGATCTAGCTGGATCGGAGTACTATGATGCTAAGAACGGACTGGGATGCAATCAGACACCACAGGAAAAGCAGGAGGGAAGGCAAATTAATACGGATCTCCTGGCTCTCAAAGAAGTCATTCGTGCTCGAGCTCAGAATCTGAGCCGAGTTCCTTTTCGAACATCTCCACTCACGTTGGTCTTGCGTCAGCATTTTCAAGCGTCTTCGGATTCGGATTCGGCGCTGATTTTGACACTCTCACCCTCGGCTAGGGAATTTGCAGCTACCATGAACACATTGAAGTACGGAAATCTCGTGGGCGTTGCAGGGAATGATGCATAGATGGAAGCAAGAACGTGTTGTGAATACCTGAATCCTGAAAAAATTCATTGATATATCAAAGCCAGATAATCCACAAGTCCCTTTGGTCTGCCACTTGTTACCATGTCAACTGTTGCAGATACACACAAAGCAAGTCATCGGCGTTTTTCTGGGGTCTCTAGATCATTTCCTTCAAGGTAGCCAGTAGCTACAGCCCGTACTTGAAGACCATCCTTTGTACATGGGTTGAGACATTTCACCGTGCACACAGCCAACAGTACGTTACACGAACTCCCTACACTCTATATGCCAGCTCTATCTCCATAAAGCCGCAGGTGTGTTTGTGAATAATTTGATAATTCTGTGCTCACCCTCTGCGAGGGTGTGAGGTTCCCCGTGGATACGCAATGCTAGCGCTGGCCATGTATCAGTATCCCGTCGAATAGGACATCGCGCCGTCTTGGCGAGGAACGATCCCACGCCTTCCGGGATTTCTCCGAGCTCACTTCTCGTCTAATTTTCCCCAGAGAAGACGGCCGAGGGCATGCCAAGATGCATATAGGAATCAAAACCTGGCAGCTCAAACCGGGAGAATCTCCGGGGAGAAGAACACCGCGAGCTAAAACAATTGCTAGCACTTGTGATTCGTGAAAACGTTGGAAAGTTGACTGAGGTGCAAATGTCTGTCGCGCCAAGGCGGGAACGGGAACGCGTTGGAACTTGAAATATCACAACATTCCAAACCACACACGTTCTAGGCGATTGTTTAACAGAATCAGTGATAAGCGTAGAGGTGCAATATTCATTCTAGTCTTCATGGCTATGTGTCGTATCCATGGATAGTAGCCACGAGTCATTCAAGTTTTAAAGCGCGCCGGCGTCTGGGGATTGCTAGTACCCAGGTACGCTGACCATCTCCATCGACTCGGAATTTGGTTTCTCAGCGAAAAATCTATTTCGGAGAAGTCAAACGTGTAGTTTAAATCCATTCTCTCTCCAGACTTTTAGATTGGTGCCCTACTAGGGAAATTACCACCTGGCACCAGATGGTGGGTTATTTTTTCAGCATTTGGTGTTGTGTTGAAAACTGGCCAATTGTTGTCTGACATTCTTCAAACCCCTATTGTACTCCAGGGCTGCTATCAAATTGTGGTTTGATCCCAAAAATATATCCTCCCACTTGGGCACTGACTGCTACAAGAGTGAACCAGAATTGTTGTAGATATTCGGCTATAGTACACGAAACCTTCAAGTTGGAATCGATTTGATTGGCCGCGGCTGTGATTACGCCCGGCGGTTGCGGCCGCGGTAGGTGAGTTTAAAAGCGACGGCTTATTAGAAGAAGGTGGAGGGGAGGGATGGTGAAGGAAGAAAGGTGAGATGAGTCCTGACAGACTTAACTAAACATTTACACCTGTAAGTTTCAAGTTGTGAATATATTATGCGTAGGCTGAACAGGGGATAGAGAGAGTGTAGTAGAGAGCTATATTAGGTTTTTTCTAGTAGTGGGTAAGTCATACCTACCAACGTAGGTACCTAGATACTAACTAGTATACTAGTGGGAGAGGGATATCGGAATAATTATTTATGCCTACGTACACTGACTCTCTTTGGAGGTCGTCCTATTCTGTTTGTCTTTGTCTGATAACCTTTTTTGTATAATAATGTCACACATCATCACTACCTAGATAAAAAGAAATAAAATACAATAAAAAACTTTATTACTAGTAATATCTAATATTCTACATAAAATTCAAGTTACTTACTAACCAATACTATACCTAACAGCCAAAGAGAAGAACTATAGAATACTTTTATTCCATTTCAATCTAGTACCAGCATTAAAAAGAGTGTAAATAGCCTCAAAATAGAGTTCAGTGAATATTGGCAGCTAAAGCGCCCTGGGCAACGAAGACTTCGAACTATGAGCTGTGTGTTCATCATAAGGTAGTCTTCAAGCGATAACCCGGAGATCTCACATAGTCTAATGGCCGTCCATCTCATTTTCTCACTGGATAATTGAACCTTGGAAGTCGACTGAAATAACAGGTTCGATTTCAAGTTGCAAACGAAAAACTTGAAATTTCATGGACTCGGATGATCGGGCACGATTGATCTTCGTAAAAATAGGCGTCAAAGTAGTCGTGAAACCGTCTACGCTCCGAATTATATGACTTCAAATCTCCCAGCAAGCACTGCCAGTGATCTTGTGATACATGCATCGACAAACGTATAAAATATCCATAAAAACTTTACTTGGAAGGAATCTGGGGTTACAAGCCCTGGAGATCTCCTAGTACCTCGGGTGGGACCGGGATCGGGTTGGTCCCGGAGTAGGTTCGCTAGTCGAAAGCCAGAAAACCCCCAGGGCTGAATCACTGGTGAGGTTCAGTAACAAATAAAGCTCAGTGGCTATCAGAAGAAAAGGAACACGAGGAATTTCAAGTGGAACCCATGTTTCATGCTGGGCGAGACTGAGCTGCGATCGGCGAGGCTGCGCCACCCCGATTCTTAAAGGAGGTTAAATCGTTCTAGGTATATTTCAATCGCATAAATCGAGTTTGAGACTCAGTAAGGTCCCAAGGTTTCTTCGATTCTCCTGATTCCAAGGTTGGTTGCATAATATTACCTAGGTATTTGCGCTGTTGAAGATCATACTACCTACCTAGTAGTGAGGTACTACTACTAGTAGATATTGACAGGCTTGTGCCCGCGAAAGCATCAACTGCCCGTGTGTTACTAATAACTAATAACTACTAATAGTACTACTTCAAAGGTTCAAGTTCAACAGTAGTAGCACTGAAGTGCTAGTATGATTTACATTTTAATATATATATAAAACAAATTCCAGGACTGCTCATCCGAAGAAAAACGATGCTGACTTCGGAAATGTGCTAGTAATTTCACTTACCTGGGCAATTTTTCATAGACAATTTACGAGAAAACAGAAACCAGCAAAAAAGCACCAGAAAAAATATATTTGCAAAAAGTGTAATACTGGGCCATAGGAAAAGCAGTTGCGGAAGTAAGCCGTTGACTGGTCATCATGATTTAATATCGGGGAGGGCCATGAAGAATCGAATAGCGGGCGAGAAAGTTACGTAGCGTACAAGATAGCGAGCGGAAATACTTAAATTGAAATATTATTTTTGCTCATTTTGATATTCGCTCCAAGTTTGAACGACGTTCTAGGAGGGAGATCCAATCGTGTGAACTACGTACTAGTATCTACCTACATTAATTCTGCCCGCAATGTCTTGGGTGTGGGGAGTGTGAGTGCCCAGGTGGGGAAGTAAATATTGAGACAAGGTTTCGGGAATACTGATACGGAACAGTCAGGAGAACCTTTGGAAGTTAATGGTACCACAAATGGCCTAGACCAAAGACAAGCTGAGACTTTGCATGAGGGGCTTACCAAAAGCACCTGCCACCCAGACACCCAGAAATGCCCTCCGGCCGCGGATCAAGATCAGCAGAGGACCACTTTCATCTCTTCATACTAGAATGTAGTTTAAATGCGTTTGGGTTTGGGGTGATCAAAATATCAGGTTCGCCTTATGTACGGAGTACTTGTTACGAAATATCCGTCCGCAGACCCTCTCATGAGAATTCAAAGAACATCTGGATTTGTTTCTTCGTCCTGTGATGCCTGAATGTACTCCACCCTCCTCGGCAATTCAACAGTGGGAAAGTGGTTCTACCCCTTCTGCATGTGGTGGCATGCCAACCTTTCAACCCCAGAAACACATCCCCAGGTTAGAATCAATCTCGAATTGCTTAATTCGGCCACCGGTGATCCAACGGGGTAATCTCGACCACCACCAACACGGGGTAGCAACTACGGATCCAAGTTGTACAAAGATCGAAGAGGGGATGCAGGCGACAGCCAGCCAAGAGCCAAGGCCCGGCCCCGGCAAAGAATGCCTTCCAAGACACTCTGACCCGATATTAGGCCGGCATGGCAAACCTTGGTAGGGTGACAGTTCTAGTGTTTTCCCAGTGCCGCTAACTATTCACGGACAATGTGGAGGGTCTGGAGAAATTGGGGATATTTGAGAACGCCTTCAATAGGGTGCCACAACAAGCGCCAAGGGTCCGGAGACAAAGCCAATCACTAAACTTCCCCACAGACGGAAACCGCTAATCTGTCTTACTGGTCGCAGACCCCGTGGGAAAAATCCAAGGTCGCTCTGGGGGTGGGACCGCGCGGGATATGCGTGGCTAGAGTCAAGTTCAGGGTGGCATCGAGAGTCGTGGGGCGGCGAATTTGTTTTGCTTACGAGGTAAAACTGCAGGTTACGGTTGCGTTCAACCGAGCAAGCCGACATACCAAGGGGACCAATTACTCGGCGAGGTTTAGTTCGGCGTCAGACGATTGAGTCGCACGGTCTAATGAAAGTTCCTGAGGCGTGCCTTGCGCTAGATCACACCTTGGTCGATAACTCCATCTATTTGTTTCGCTAGGACATGAATTCTTCCCCCCCCCCTATGTGTCCTACATACAAAGGTGTCCTGCAAGACACGGGGGTCTCCCCAATAAGCGACCGATGAGGCTGGAGGTAGCCGTAAGTCACCCGATCGGCTCACACGACTCGGGGCTGAGTCTATAGAAAGAAATAGAAGCTCGAGAGGACTATTTCGGGGTGCCGAATAGCTGTCTCGGGTCCAAAAGATGTCTTCGGGTCACGACACAGTGAAAATTTTGGTGAAAAAAAGAAGCCCGGGCCTTGTGGCGCAGACTGGCCCTTGTCCCAAGCGCTGGATGGACCAATCATCACCGACATTTACCCGGACCCCAACCCTAATTGAGACACCATCTCCGCGTCCCGAGGGAACATTTCTCTTCGACAGTGTTCACGGCCGGGCTGGACCCGAGTTTCTGAATGGCTAGCTCTATTCTAAACGATGTTCTAGCGGGGCTTTCGTTCCCCAACTTACCACGGCCATGCATATTTTAGCGAATCAGCTGGCTTCCTGCTGTTTTTCGACGGCCTGATCCGTGCAAACTTTTCCCCGGGTTC